TCTCCGGTTTGGGGTCCCTGGGGGGGAGAATATGGGGGGGGGAACTATCTCACACGCCTAGAGACCCACAAGGGGTCGGCGGATTCTGAGGACCACCACTTACCGAACCACCCCAGCACAACCCGAAGGTCCCAGACCCCAAGCTTCGGGTTGGGGGGGTCCACCGAGTTTCTAGGAGGAAAAACCAGGAGGTCTCGCGCGGCGCGTAATAGCTGCATTATATAGTCCACACGCCAGCTCCGCAGGCTATGGGTCGACACTCGCGCGGCGATGCTCTGGAGTCAGTCCGACGTAAATCCGACGTAATTTCGACGTAATGCGACGTGAACCCGACGTAAATCCGTAAATCGGGTCTCAAGTTGCCGCGCGAGGCTTCTGGGTGTTCCAGAGCTCCCCCTCTGGAAATTGGAAGGCTCAAGGGCGACTTCGGGTTGGGTTGGGGTGGCCGGTTGGGTCGTCAGAGGAGGGGCCTAGCCCCCTCCCTCCGTCGCGAATGAGTCGATACGGCTGGGGTCTCCTCGCGTTGGGGGTCTAGGGTCTCGTGGCGAGTCAGAAGCAGCCCGGGGTGAGCACCTGGTTCTGAGCGTTCGGAAGCTCTGTGCTTGGCATCGCTCGGACGTGTGCATTTTTCTCGGCGAGGACCATCGAAGAGCATCCAGGTCGAGCAACACAAGAGCACGAAACCGACAAAAGCACGGGAAATGGACGTCCGAGCGACGGCAAGCGGGACGATCAGGTCGTGTCGTCGGGGTCTGCCCCTTGCTTCCGCCCTTCTCTTGGGGCCCTCGCGATGGGGGCCCTCCTCGCCCCACGGCTGGGTCCGCCGCGGGATCCTGGTCAGAGCGCGCTTGGCCGATTCTGAGGGTACAGTTAGTTGGCCGCCTCCGCTGGCAGGACCCCGCTCGCACAGTGTCGGCGTGGCCTTCCAGGGCCCTTGGCATCCTTAGATCGCGCGTCCTTCAAAAACTGCTGGCTGACTGCAGAGCCCACCGCCCTGGAGTGAACACCTTGGAGGAGGCTCTGGACGTGGGTCGGAGGACGGGGCCTGCCCCCGAGGGCGAGGAGGGAGAGGCACCCCCCCGCCTCCTCCTCCTCCTCCTCCTCCTCCTCCTCCTCCTCCTCCTCCTCCTCCTCCTCCTCCTCCTCCTCCTCCTCCTCCTCGTGGGAGGAGGGGGGGGGCAGTGCCGAGGGCGTGATTCCCGTACGCGCCGGCGTCGCCCCCCTTCCAAGGGGGGCGACGCCGGCGCTTACGGGCTTGAGCTTTGCAGCCGCGAGGCCACGGAGAAGCCCGTGGACACCCTGGACCACGCGTATTCACCTTTGTTCCGCGTGTTCCGCACATGGCATCCCAGGGCGCCGAGACAAGGCACAGTCGCGAACAGCACACGCCTTATAGCGGTTGTCCGCACGACCAAAGGAAAACACCAACCAGAGCGTCGCATGGAAGCACGCCTCGCCCCATTGGCGCCCATGTGCTGGGACTCGGAGAAGCACTTTGGCCAGGAAAGCACTGGTCGCCCAGTAGAGTGCTCTTCCGCGCCATTCATTAGCCGTGTGGGCTCAGGTCGGACAGGGTTTGCTCTCGCTTGCTGGGAGGGGGAGCCCGAACATACATTTCGAGCAATTCCCGCACAGATGGCCCCCGGGACCGCCAGCAGGCCCCCCAGGAGGCTTCCAGATGCCCCCAGCACGCCCCCGAGAGCCCCACGAGGCCAGCCCCAGACATGCTTGCAGGAGACCCCAAGAAGCTTCTTAGGTGCTCCCAGTCCACGATCCAGGCACGGCCTCGGGCTGGGCCGAGGTAAGTACGTAAGTAAGAGTGAATGCAGCATCCGGTGAGAAAGAAAACTAGCACCCTGGGAAGTGAAGCACACCCTGAGCGGGCTGGGCCGAGGGCTACAGTCAAGACGCTGAAATAAGGAACAGTTTGGGTTCGGAAGGGGCTCGATGTTCCTTAGGTTCCTCCAGTGCTGTTCCTCTTGCCCTCCTGGGGCACGGAGGCGCTTACAGGGCCAAGAAGGGGCTTCGTTCCTTAGCGTTCCTTCTTGTAGCGGCCCGACTATACTTGATCCGCCGCCCACCCCTGCTTGCAAAGCAAAGGGGTGCCTGGCGTGCTAAATCTCCGAGCGCTTTTCTGGCCCTCCTCCTCCTCCTCCTCCTCCTCCTCCTCCTCCTCTTCCTTTTCCAGCACACAGGCCCCTTCGTCGAGTAACAAAACAAATCCTCCTCCTCCCTCTCCCTCCTCCTCCTCCTCCTCCTCCTCCTCCTCCTCCTCCTCCTCCTCCTCCTCCTCCTCCTCCTCCTCCCCCTGGGGGCTCGGCTGATCCCTCCGGCCACCTGGGAAATAATCGGGCAGGAGTTCCTTCCGCTTCCAGGGCTCCCAAGATGGCTCCCAAGAGGTGGCTTCTAGGATGACCCCCCAGACATGATCGCGCCGTTAACAAAAATCAGGGCGGGACGTTTGGCCATTTTCGGCCTCGGGGGCCCTCGCGGGCCTCGGGGCCGTCAAAAAACGATTCGGGATGAAAAACCGGTCTTCCAGGGACCCCGCCCTGAAACAATCAGGACGTCGCATGTCTGGGCCAGGATGGCCTCCAAGACAGCTTCAAACCCTGCTGGCTTCAAGCCGGCCCTAAGAGGGCCCCGATGGGCTCCAGGAGGCCTCCCGGCGGAGAGTTTTGGAAGCATTTCCGCGTTCTCGGCCTTCTGGGCTTCCGACAGCCGACGACGGCCCCAGGCGCCTCCAATGTAATTAGCCCTAAGACAGCGACACAGGGTCCCAAGACGGCCCAAGAGGCCCTCATGACGGCCCGAAGATTGTACCTGAGTCCTCTACGACGGCCCTAAGCGCCTAAAGAGAGCCCAAGGACGCTCCAGTGATGCCCCGAAGACGGCATCCGAAGGCAAATAGGCCCCTCCGAGGCCCCCCAGGCCCCCAAGGCGCCGAAGAGGCTCCTGGAGATCCCAAGAGGGCCCCAAGAGAGCAGAACGAAGCTTCCTCCTCCTCCTCCTCCTCCTCGTCCTCCTACGTATTCTTCTTTCTCCTCTCTCCTCTCCTCTCTCGTCCCCCCCCGAGTGGTCCCCCAATCGTCTCCACAGCGGCTGGGAGAGGCGTATAGCCCGGTATAGCCCGGTATCTCCGGCCGAGCGCGTTGCCACAATTTGACAATCGGCGCTTCCAGAGAGGCAGGGGGGGCGGCGGTGACTCGCCGCAGACTCGGCGGCGAAATCCGAAGCCTACCCTCGCCGATCAACGTCGGCGGCCAGCGAGGGGGGGCAGTGAGAAAGAGAAGGCCTTCTCAGAAGGCGGCGGGACTCCGCAGAAGCCCTCGCTCCTTTTGAGAAGCTTTCTGTGTCTTTGGGGAAGGATGAGTCGACTTCTCAGGGGGACTTCCGAGCCTTCTGAGAAGGCCGCCCGTCCCTTCTCACTTCCCACCCGCGCTCGCCGCCAACGACGATTCAGGCAACTCGATGGGCGAACGGGGTAGGGTTCGGAATCCGTCGAGCCTGTGGCGAGATCCGAACCCTGCCCCCGCCTCCCGTCGATGCAGGAGAGCCGCTGGCTGGCTGGGGTGGGGCTCGAACGTCGCCACCTCTGGGGGCCTGCGGTGACTGCGACTCGCCGCATGCGGCTGTCACCGAGCCCGCTCGGCATCTTCGCCCTGGCCTCCTCCTCCGCGCGCCTGACGGGGGTCCCACGCTCTCCCTCGCTCTCCTCCTCCTCCTCCTCCTCCTCCTCCTCCTCCTCCTCCTCCTCCCTCCTGTTCCTCCTCCTCCTCCTCCTCCTCCTCCTCCTCCTCTTATTTCCTCCTCCTCCTCCTCTTCCTCCTTCTCCTTCTCCTCTCCTTCTCCTACTCTTATTTCTCCTCCTCCTCCTCCTCCTCCTCCTCTCCTCCTTCCTCCTCCGCCACTCCTCCCACCTTCTCCTGCCTCCTCCTCCTCCTCCCTCCCTCCTCCCTCTCCTCCTCCTCCTCCTCCTCCTTATTTCCTCCGCCTCCTCCGCCTCCTTCTCCTTCCTTAACTCTCCTTTCCTCCTCCCTCCTACTCCTCCTCCTTCTCCGCCCCACTCCTCCTCCTTCCCTCTCCTCCCTCCTCCCTCCGATCCTCTCCCTCTCCTCCTCCTCCTCCTCCCTCCTTCTTCTCCTCCCTCCTTCTCCTCCTTCCTCCTCCTCCTTCCACTCCTCCTCCTGCCTCCTCCTCCTCCTCCTCCTCCTCCTCCTCCTCCTCCTCCTCCTACTCCTCGTTTCCGGCGACAGGAGGGCTGTGTGGCTGCCTCGATGCGGCCGTTCTCAAACGTCACACGTACCGTTCTCAAAACGTCCGTGCCAATACATTGTGTGTTGACCCAGCGTCTTGGTCCATGTTGTGGCGAACGTATCGCGCCATACCTTCGCTCTCAGTCTACGTGTTGAGATCCGTAGCAGTGTGCTACGCGTTGCGTGTTGCGTATCGGGGCAGCTAGGGAGGGCTGTCTCCAGGCCCCCCTGGGGGCCCTCCAGAGACGACTCGGGATGCAGTTCCCGTCTCAGGCAAGGGTCGGCTGCACGTATAAGAGTGGCCTCTCGCCAGGGTGTGGCTTCCTGTGCGGGCCCTCTGGGGTTTCCCTCTGAGGCGATGCGACAGCAGCGTCTTGCGCGCTTGCGTTTGGCATCCCCGCGGCGCCCCATGAAATCTCGGGGCTCAAGAGGCGGGGGTCGAGGCAAACGGGGGTCGGCCAGAGCGCCGGATCCTGCAGGATCCTGCCGAGCCAGGGGTGCCCTGTCCCCGGCATGCGTGCAGGATCCTGCACGATCCTGCAGGCTCCTGCAGGATCTTGTAGGACCCTGCGCAGCCCGGCTGACCCGGGCTTGGACGGACCCTGGCCAGTGCGTCCCCGCAGAGCCGCGCGCCAAAGGCCGCGCTTGCCCGGGGCCGCTCTCGCGGCGCCGAGGCCCCGGGGCCCGCGCCTCGGACGAGCCCGCGGGCGTCGGCCGACGGAGCGCTCCTCGCCGGCGGCGGAGATGGAGGGCACCGAGGCGGAGCGGCCGGTGGCCAACCCCCGCCTGGCGGCGGCCCTGGCGCGCGCCGCGCGGGTCAACCTCTCCGCGGACACGGCGCGGCACCTGGAGCAGGATCGGCGCCCCCCGCCAATAATGATTGTTCGTTCGTCGCCCCCCCATGGGCGACGCGCGCGCCGAGAAGTCTTCTAGTGTAGAAGCTCCGTGGCGGGCGCTTTCTGGCCATGCCGCTCGAGAAACGACACGCTACAGGATGGCTATGCGAGATGCTCCGGGGTCGCACCCCTCGCGCAGGTCTGCAGGGCTGGGCCTCTTGCGATGGGTGCCCTGCGGCCGCGCCCGCACTGCACAGTCAACCCGCACAGCAAGGTTGGCTCGGGCACGTCCCCCTACAGGAGGAATATTCAAAAATAGTCAGAAGATAGTCTGGGGACGAGTCTTGGACTATTTTTTGGTATTTTTGGTTTTTTGTTGTGTCGAATTTTCATTTTTCCTCCAAGATCCGCCTGGAGGAGGACATGCCCGACCTAAGGGTAACCTTCCCAAGGGTACCCTTGCATCCTTGCGCCTTCGGCCCATCCCTGGCGACTTTCGCCGGCCTCGCTCGAAAGACGTTCACGTGGGCCTCCGAGGCCCTTGCATCCCCACCGCGCATCCTTATGAATACGGGCTGACTGCACCCCAGACATGCGACTTTCTGATTTTTTCAACGCGGGGTCCCTGGAAGTCCCGACCCTTTCACCAGGACCAGTTTTTCATCCTGAATCGTTTTTTGACGGTCCCGAGGCCCGGCGAGGGCCCCCCGAGGCCGAGAATGGCCCAAAAACCCCCGTCCTGCTTTTTTTTACGACGCGATCCTGTCTGGGAGTGGCAGGCCCCTGCGCGGCCCTGCAGGAGAGGGAGCACCTCGCCCGGGTGCGCCGGCTGGCGGAGGAGGCCGTGCGCTCGCGGGGCGGCCCCGGCGACGACCCCGGCGGGCAGGCCCTGAGGCACCGGGCGGGGGAGCGGCGCAGAGAGGACCACCGGCGCCGGACGGAGGAGGCCTTCGGGCGCGAGGCCGCAGAGGCTCGGGGGCAGCGACAGGGTGGTGGAAGTGGAGGGATGTCAGAGCCCCGAATCATCAGGGGTAACTCGGGTCAGGGATAACTCGGGTTCGTTTTTCGGGAATCCGAACCCGAGTTACCCCGGACCCGAGTTACCCCGGATAACTCGGGCGCCCAGAGCCCCGAATCATCAGGGATAACTCGGGCGTCCAAAGGGATGGAGAGGAAGCGTGTTGCCAAATACTTTCCAGGTGTCCCACACATGTTGCAGGCATGCTCTGAACATGTAACGCGCATGTTTCACACACGCTTGGAACATGAGTCCGACATGCTTGAATCACGTTTCATGCAACGATAGGACTGTTAGGGTGGGTGTCCATCGCCATGGCATCCACAACGACAGGGGGGGACTGGCTTCGTCGTAGGGCAGGCACAGGGGCTTGACATCGCTGGGACGTGCGCGCATATTTGGGGGCGGGGGCCATCGAGGAGCAGCCTGGATCATCTTGCGAGAAATACACGCGAGAAGTCGAGCAATGCACGGGGAATGGATAGGGTTAAGTCGGGCACGTCCCTCTACAGGAGGAATATTCAAAGATAGTGTAAATACAGTCTGGGGACGATTCTTGGACTCTTTTGACTAAGTATTCCCGAGATTTGTTGACTATGTTTCGATTTTCTTACACAATCCACCTTTAGGAGGACATGCCCGACCTCAGCATAGGGGGGATGCATCGACCCCCAATCGCCCATTGATCGCCGACAGGGGCCCGATAGCCCCAACCTTCGCAGGAAGGTTCGGATTCACTATTGGGGCCCATCGCCGATCTATCGGCGATGTACCACCGATCCCAGGTCGATGCATCCCCCTATGCCAGGTCCCTCCTATGGTTGCCCCTCAGAGGCGATGTGCTCGAAGCAGCAGGCGGCCGTGCAGGAGTGGGACAGCGCGCAGGACTACGAGCGGTGGCTCAAGAGGAAGGTGGGCCTCGAGGACTGGCAGGCCGAGCGCGAGGAGGCGGAGAGGCGGTGGCAGCAGCAGGAGCAGGCGGACTACATGGCCGCGCTGGCCGCGTCGCACCGGCGAGGGCTCGCTCAGGCCTCGGACCAGCCGCGGGAGCAGACTCGGCCACGCGCAGAGCGGGGTGGGGTGGGGGGGGGAAAGGCCTCCTAGAGTCGAAGAGAAGAACAAAACGCTGTAAGCATAAGCTTTTGGCGCTGAGCGCCACCAGTTTATGTGTGTGTGTGTGTGTGTGCCGTTTCTTCTCCTTCTACAGAAGCACCCCTGCTCAGAAGCGGCGGGCCTTGTCTGCGGGTGCAAGGCCTGCGCCTTCTGAGAAGCAGCCTCCTTCTAAGAGGCCTTCTCCCCCCTCCCCCTGCCCCCCCTGTGCGCGCCGCCAACAGACGCACCAGGCGCTGCATCAGGTCGCAGGAGTTGACCGGGCCAGCTTGCGGCGGGTCCTGGGCTCAGCTTGTGCTGCAGGCGCCGAGCGCCCTCAGCAAGTTGCCCTGCAAGAGTTCCTGGTCGACAACAGCGCCCTCGGGGCGGATGCTCCGGGCGTCGCCTACCGCCTGAGCCGCAACATGCAAGACAAGGACGCTGCGAGCCCAGTCGTCCCTTGGGGGGCTGCAGTGTGGGGCGTCGACCAGGGCGACGGCTGGATACAGGTGGGCAAAAGGTTCTTGCCGCTTGAGGTGCAGGGTGCCGCTGTGCTCGTCCCTCAGCGCGTGGCCGAGCGTGAGGGAGAGGATGCATCTGGCAGCGCGCCCGCCGCAGAGGCCTGCGGAGGCTCAGAGCAGCTGACGGCTGCCCAGCAGATGGCGGCCCAGAAGGAGGAGGAGCTCCAGCAGATGCTCAAGAAGAGGGCAGAGGAGGACGAGGCAGATGCCTGGCATGCGGCGGAGAGGGAGAAGGCAGCAGCGCGCAGGAGAAGGGCGCTGGACACGGCCATGCAGGAGGCGCGGGCGAGGGAGAAAGATGCGGGCGAATCTCTGACGTTGTCTGGGACTGAAGACTCAGGCCTTAGGCGCCACCACACCCTGCTGGGCCTGCCACAGGAGGCACTGGCAACGAGGTGCCGCGCAGACGAAGGCCCAGGCAGCAGCCGCGCTGTCGCAAGCAGGCTCCCGCGCGTCGACGACGTGGAGGACTACGACTTCGACTTCGCAGGCGACGGGAGGCCGTTCCGCTTCGCTCGTGGCCGCGCGTCGCGCGTCTGCGCGGAGAGCGGGCCGCAGCGGCGAGATCGGGCGCGGCTGGCCCTCGCGCAGCTGCGGGGCAGCGAGCCGATGCAGCTGGCCCTGCGCGGGGGCTTCGTGCGGCACGTGGGCCCGCAGTCCCCCTTCGGAGGGCTGGGGGAGAGCGGAGGCTCCCACAGACTGGCGCAGCCCGAGCTCCGGGCTCGGCTCCGCGACTTTGTCGTCGGCAGGGCGCGGCGGTCGGCGCTGGGCGGCGCGGGCCCGCGCGGCGCCGGGCTGCGGTACGCCTCGCTGGGCAGCGGGCGGCTGCTGCTCGACCTGGAGCTGCTGGAGCGGCTGCGGCTCGCGGGCGTGCGCGTCGAGCAGGTAGGGGGCCACATGCGAACCCTACCCCTACCCCCCACGATTTCTGAGGGGGAGGGTGGGGTTCACTTCGCTCGGGAGCTCCTGAATGAAGTGAACCCCACCCTCCCCCTCAGAAATCGTGGGGGGTAGGGGTAGGGTTCGCATGTGGCCCCCTAGCAGGTGTGCCTGGTCGACAGGGCGTACCGCCGTCCCAGCGCCGACGTCCGGCGGGCGCTGCGGGAGTTCGCAGACTGGCAGCGGGCAGCCGCGGAGATGCTGAGGCACGCGCCGGCCGAGGTCCTCGTCTTCGGGACGCTGGGCGACTACTACGAGGCTGCCAGGGGTGCTGGTAGGGCCGCAGGCTGCCACCTGCTGGTGCAGTGCGACGCCCACTGGCGGGGAGCGCCAGCTGATTGCGAACGCCTCGCGCTGCGGGCGCTGGTGCCCGCAGGCTTGCTTGTCTGTCTCACGAACCGGGAGCTTCCACACAACCAGATGCGGTCTGTGGTGGGCGCGTTTGCTGGTGACTCGCAGGCCGACGATGAGGCGAGAGATTTCGAGCTTGAGCCGTGCACCGAGCCATACACCCTGGCGGCGTGGGAGGTGCAGACGTGGCCCGCTGAGTGCTGCAAGCTGCCGTCCCTCGTGCCTATCCAGGATCCTCTTTTGAGTGACATCGGAGCCGCTCAGCAGCCGAGCAGGCCAGAGGCGGGAGGCGACCGGTGGCGTGTCGTCCACGCACGGGTGGCGGTGCGCTCGGGCCCGTCGCCACAGAACGCGGTAGTGGACGTGTTCAACTGCGGCGACGAGGTCGTTGCCATCGGCGAGGCCGAGGGCGGTTGGCTGCGGCTGTGCCCGACGTCCTGGAGCAGTGTGGACGACGCTCCCCCGGAGGCCCGAGGGCTGACCACTGGACGCTGGCACCGGTACAGGTTGTCCGGCACCGCCAGGGCCTGGTTCACAGAGGCATCTCTGGTTGGTGCCAGGAGGGTCTCTCACGCCACGCTTGGGCCTTGGACGGAGCTGGACCGGTCTTGGCGTCAGCGTACAGTGATTGGCAGCCCCTTCCTCCCTCGTCGTCCGCCTGCTGTTGCTCCTCCTTGCCCATCCCTCCTCATTCCCTCCCTCCCCCGCCTCCTCTCTCTCATCTGGAGAGGAAGAGGATATCTTTGATGCGCCGCCGTTGGGAGCCCGTGAGCGTACTACTCCGTCGTCTGTGTCCGAAGGCCTAGTGCTTCATCACAAGTAGTACTCTGGTGGCTTCCCCACGGCGTCCTCCATCGGCACCGCCCAAGCATACTCATACTCTGTGTGCGCCAGGCCCGCAAGGGTGAGGCGGACGCCCAGACATCTGATAGTGTAAGCTCCGTGGTGGGCGCTATCTGGCCATACGGCTCGGGAATCGGAGCACTATAAGAGCTGTGTGTTCTTGTCGGACGTGCCCCCTGCAACATCAGCACACACTGCTAGCACTTTCTTCTGCGCTCCACTCCACCATCCTCCCTCACCTCCCTTCGTTCTGGGCGTCGTCGTCGTCCTCCTCCTCCTCCTCCTCCTCCTGTCCAGAGGCGTGGGTGCTGAGCGACGGCAGCTCGGTGGGGCTCGGGGCGCTCCTGCGGCGCGCGTCCTCGGCGGTGCCGTGAGCGCCCCCCGGGTCTCGCGGGCAGCGTCCCCGCGCTGGCTCTGGGCGCACAGCGGGCGGCGCCGAGAGTCGGAGGGCGGCGGCGGGCCGGTGCCCGGGGCATCGTTTGGGGGGATCATGGGCTCAGGGGGGGGATGCATCGGCCCCCGATCGCCCATTGATCGCCGACGGGCCCGGCAGCCCACTCCGCGCGGGAACGTGCCGTTCTCTCGCCGTCGGAGGCCTCTCGCCGGTCCCTCGGCGACGTATCGCCGATTCCGGGTCAACGCTTCCCCCCCGTGGGCCAGTCCCCCCCCCCCGTTGTCGTTGTTCCTCGGGGTGGCGCAGGGGGTCGGCCATCGGCGCTCGATCCATACCCCTGCTGTTGCCCCCTGCTCTGGGCGCCAGGTGCAGCCGGGTATGGGCAGAATGATGTGGCCTCGGAGGCCAGGATGTGATCCGTAGCCCTGCTCTGGCCCCTCGTGTGGGTCGGGGGGTGAGCAGGGGCCTGGCTGGAATTTCGATCGCCTACGGCATGTTCGCGCCGCGTTGACGCGGCGGCGACGCCGGCTCGGGCGTTCAAGCTGGAACGCCGCCAGTGGCCCAGAATCGGCCCCACGTCGAGGGATCTGCGCTGTCGGGAAGCCGCTGTCGTTCAAGGTCGAGTGCTCTACGGGGTGCCAGAGACCACCGCCGACGTCATCGCCGCACGAGCCAACCGTCGAGGGCCCGGGGCCGTAGGCGGCCCGACGGGAGGGCGAGGAGGAGGAGGGGGAGGAGGAGGAGGAGGAGGAGGAAGAGGAGGAGGAGGAGGAGGAGAAGGAGGAGGGGGAGAGGAGGAGGAGGAGGAGGAGGAGGAGGAGGAGGAGAAGTAGGAGGAGGAGGAGTAGGAGGAGGAGGAGGAGGAGGAGGAGGAGGAGGGGAGGAGGAGGAGGAGGAGGAGGAGGAGGAGGAGGAGGAGGAGGAGGAGGCGGAGGAGGAGGAGGAGGAGGAGGTAAGGGGAGGAGGAGGAGGGGGAGGAGAGGAGGAGAGGGAGGAGGAGTAGGAGGAGGAGGAGGAGGAGGGAGGAGGAGGAGGAGCGCGGGAGCCTCGTCCAGCGCACGCGGGCGCCGGGAGCCCCTCTGGAGGAGCGCGTGCGGCGCCCCTGGGCCCCCCCCCCGTGTCCTGCCCGCGCCTGCCGCGGCCCCCCGAGGGGTCGGTACTTTTGGGAAGCTCGTCGCCTCCTCCCGTGGATCGAGGGTCGAGGAGGCTGCTCTCCCAGACCCCCTCGAGCAATGAAGAATTCATGACTGAAGGTTTTCCTTCATTTTCGGCCTCCGGGGGCCCTCACCGGGCCTCGGGAGCGTCAAAAAACGACTCAGGATGCAAAGCCGGTCATGGGGAAAGGGTCGGGACCTGGGGGTCGACGTCATGAAAAAATCATGACGTCGGGGGTCTGGGCTCGAGGATGGAGCCACGGCATACAGTGGAGACCCATGCCGAGAGAGACCCTGCTCGCCTCCAGGGTGCCCTGGGTTTCGTGGGCTGCGATGCTTTTGCTGTTGAAAGCGTGACGCTCGTGTACCAAAAGCCAGTGGACGTCCTGGGGTTCCAGGGTTGGGTTTCTCGTGGGAGGTTTCTCGTGGTCGGGTCCCTATGTGTAAGCAGGCCTTGTCGGAGTGCCGCGCGGATTTCGTGGGTCTGCGTTGGTCCCCCCCCCCCCCTGGGCGGCGCCTCTAGCGCCGCCCCTGGCGCGTTTCGCGTGCCTGGGGAGGGGGGGTCCAGCGCCGATGCAAGGCATCCCCGCGCGCGGAACTCCGAGGGTTTACGCGTGTTTATGCAGTTTGTTCTTCTACGCTCTACGGAGGAGATTCTCGTTCAGGAATGTGCCCAGGAGGCCTCAGACCCTGGATTCCTTGTTTGACGAGGGTGAAATCCACGGCCAATCCGTTGGGTTGGAGTTCCAATGGCTACCAGACCCCGGAATCCTTGTCCATTGGTTCCTTATCCAATGCCCTCACCGAATGTTCCCCGACCGGCAGGTTGGGGCTGCCAGGTCTAGAGAGAAGTGCTCCCCACCCGCCTCGCACACCCTGCATACCGCGGCCGCCGGGCCCCGAGGATCCCGGTGCTCTCTGGGTGGCTCGCCCTGCGTCTCGTCGACGAGTGACGACTCTGCATGCCGCGGCCGCCAGGCCCCAGGCAGGGGGCCCGGTGCTCCCTGGGAATCCCGCGTCGCGTTCTCGCATGGGGATCCATCCGCGCAACATGATTGAGATTTGTTTGTGTGGTTTGGCTTGCGGGGCCGGCTTCCTCTCGTCCCGCCTGCGCCGGGCTTCCTCTTCCCCTGTGCACCGCGGCCCAATTTGCATCTTGCACGCCGCACTGATGCCAGATCGCCAGAGCAGTAACGTCTACCCAGCCGCCGACGCTAAAAGTGTGGTTTGGCTGGTTCAGGTGAGGGGCTCTTCGGAGGCACTCTTTTTCCACAGGAGGAGGGGGCGAGATCCACAGTGTTGACCCCCCTTTGGCACTGCCTGGGCATAAGAGGAGTCCGATGCCTTTGCCTCGAGGCGTCGCGAAACAAAGCAAGCACGACCGGACCGGTGGCGGTCAAGCAGATTCATGGCCGGGAGGTTTGTCTGTTCGGACCCAGGGCCGTCAAGCAGCGATCCGCGAGGGGAGACTTGCCCTGCGGATGGGGTGCAGGAGCCTTGAGGGCGCAGGTCGTGAAAGCCTCACGGCGTCGGGTGTCTCGGCAGAGTTCGAGGCGGCGGCCGTGTGCTCCGACGTCTCCCCTCTGTCCGCCCCCTCGTCCTGC